TTACGTATCATCATGATGATGATTATAATTTGAAGATTTTGGAGGATTCCTCCCAATTTTTCACGATTATTAGTAAGGGTAGAGCAAGTATATTTATGCATAAGTCTTAGACATATCCAATTATTTCCCTAGGACTGATTTCCAGAAAAACAATTACCAGAGCCAGAGAAAGCAGGGAATTCTTGTGTCCTCAGCTTTTTATGTCTCTCTGGGGTATAGAGATAGCTTGTGTAAATTTCCCAACACCCTGGGAAATCTCTCAGCCTGATACTGACAGTGACTGAAACCTCTAATCTCCTCTAACATCTGTGAAGCACTTCCATCCTTTCATCTCCTGGCATTTGCTGAGTCCCAGCAGCTTCCCAAGGAGGAATGGTTAAAGCCTCTCAACCCAAGTAAAGTGTGGTAGGAGGAAGTCTGAAGATTGAAATTCTTAGTCTGAGACTGAAAGGAGAAGAAAACCTCCCCTCCACCCACTTCCCCAATGGGGTTTGCTTGGGCACTGGTACATCAGAACACTTTGCACTCCCTCATTCAATGTGGCTCTACTTCACCTGCAAGAATCCAAGTGGCCTGAGTCTTTAACTCCCATTTCTAAGGTAGAGGAATCCCAGTGGGGAACAGGAGTGATTAGAAAGATCCAGGTAGCAAATTTCACGAAACTTACAACAAAAGGTAATAAAGCAAAAGCTCAGAATGGAATGGGCTGTAAATCCACACTTGGAAAAACTCCTACACCAAGTACATAGCAGTGATGCAAATAAAATATGAGAGGAAAACAAACAAGAATGAAGTAATTTAAAACAGTGATCTAAAACAAAAAACACTTCCATGGACCTAATAGGTAAAAGAAATGAGAAATAGAATCTAAGTTCTGGATCAAGAAGCAAAGAAGAACAATTAGGAGCTAAGAGTCCTTGTGGAAAAATGGAAAATGAAATGACCCACAGATTGGTTCAGGGGATCTGAAGAAGGCTTGGAGAAGATTGATAATTCATTCAGCCCTACCCCTAGGGCTGCAGACTTTAGAAGGGCAAAATACATAGACAAAACAAAATTTCAAATGACATGGCTAGCCGGGCACCAGTGGCTCACGCCTGTAATCCTAGCTACTCAGGAGGCTGAGATCTGAGGATGGCGGTTCAAAGCAAGCCAGGGCAGAACAGTCCTTGAGACTCTGATGTACCAGAAGTGGCGCTGTGGCTCAAGAGGTAGAGCACTCACTTTGAGCTGAAGAGCGCAGGGACAGCACGCAGGCCCAGAGTTCAAACCCCACGACTGAAAAAAAAAAAAAAAAAAGACATGGAAATATCTAATTTGAAGAAAGAAATTCAACAAACAGCAATTTGAACTAGAATTCATGCCAAGTGAAATTAATGTTACAGAACAGAATAAGACTGTAAACACCTTAGATCATCCAATGATATGAAAGAAAGCTATATGACAGGGAAAAAGAACAAAATTATAAAAATAAAAGCAAGCAGAAACTTTAAAAAAGGACCGGTGGATATGGAAAATAAGTAATTAGAAATATTTTTAAATAAAAATGTGATAAATGAAGAAAAATGATCAATAAAATAGTTTTCATATATTTTATTATCTTTAAGTAGTTGTATAAAAGAGCTGCCATTTAACAAAGTAGTTATTGAATATACTGCATCTTGATCAATGTCACCCCTTTCAACATTCTCCCTATCCTCCTAACCCCACTGTTTCCCTCCATTTTCTTAATTTAGTAGGCTATGCATTGAAGTTTATGACTGCATCTCCCTACTTCCTCTCTTTATGAATCTTCCCTCTTTCCCTTGATCCCTCTTTTCTGAACAGCTATTTCCTGGCTTTATTTTGTTGAACTGTTAACTAGTCTTCCTAAGGAATTACAGAGTCTCCCCTGAATCTACCATATTTCATTTAATACATTTGTGTACACTTGTACACCACCCGAAGTGTTTACTTATAGTCTTATAAGTTAATTCTAGCTTCTACTTATGAGAGAAAACATGCACCATTTGTCTCTCTAGGCCTGACTTATTTCTGGGAATGACTTACTTTCCAAGTCCTTCCATTTTCTTGCAAATGAGGGGCATCTGGGCTGATTCCATACCTTGGCTATGGTGAATCATTTCGCAATAAACAAGGTTATTCAAGTGGCTTTACTATATCCTAATTTATAATCTTTTTTTTTTTTTTTTTAAATTTTATTTTATTTTATTTGAGAACATACTGTACAGAGGGGTTACAATTACATGGGCAGGATAATGCATACATTTCTTGCCAAGCATTGCAGCCTCCTCCTTTGTTTACCCTTCACCTCCCTTCCCAGCCTCCCCCCTCCCCCCCACCCAATCATACCCCCCCACCCCCCCCCCCCCCACCGACATTGTAAAGCTGGTTTTGACATGACATTTTGTACTTCTCATTGTTGCAACAGGTCCACCTGAATCCTTAAAGGACTTGTTTGTCCCCATCTCCTCCACATGTTATACTGACATCAAATATAGTGAAAGCGGGGATTACACTGTGGGGGAGGGATATACAAAGCAACAAAGAAATAATCTTATAAATGCGTTAGAAATACATGCATGAAAGAAACAAAAACATTAAAATACATATTTGAGGTTTCGTTTTCCTAACATCACATTATCTGACTTTTTCCGCTTGACTCATACCTATACTAGATATTGCAAATAAGGGAAACCATGGGACCTATGTTTCTTTGGGCCTGGCTTACTTCACTTAATATAATTTTTTCCAAGCCTTTCCATTTCCTAACAAATGGGGAAATGTCATTCTTTCTGATGGAGGCATAGAATTCCATTGTGTATATATACCACATCTTCTTGATCCATTCATCTACTGAGGGGCATCTGGGTTGGTTCCATGTCTTAGCTATGGTAAATAATGCTGCAATAAACATAGTTGTGCTGGTAGCTTTAGTGTGGCCTTGTTTGTGATCATTTGGGTAAATGCCCAAAAGTGGGATTGCTGGGTCATTGGGGAGCTCTATGTGGAGTCTTTTGAGGAACCTCCATACTGCTTTCCAAAGTGGTTGAACAAGTTTACATTCCCACCAACAATGAAGTAAGGTTCCTTTCTGTCCACATCCCCTCCAGCATCTGTTGTTGTTAGAGTTCTTGATTTTTGCTGTTCTAACTGGAGTGAGGTGATATCTCAATGTTGTTTTGATTTGCATTTCTTTTATGGCTAGGGATGTTGAACATTTCTTCATGTGTCCCTAATTTATAATCTTTTAGATAAATATCCGAATGGAATTGCTGGCCCATAGGATTGTTCTATGTTTAGTTTTTGAGGAACTTCCATACTGCTTCTAAAGAGATTGAACAAGTTTCGATTCCCACCAACCGTGTCCTATTTTTTTTTCTTTTCACGCAGCATCTGTTATTGTTTGTATTCTTGTTGATGGCCGTCCTAACTGGGTAAAATGGAATCTCCGTGTTGTCCCGATTTGCATTTCTTTTATGGGCAGAGAAGTTGAGCATTTCTTCATGTGTCTGTTGGCCATTTTTACTTACTCTTCTGAGAAGTCTCTATTCAGCTCATTTGCCCATTTATATCTAATTGATTTAACTATATTTAATTTATTCTTTGAGGGTTTAGTTTCTTAAACTCACTGTATATTCTGGATATGAGGCCATTGCGTAACTGGCAAAAATCTCTCATTCTGCAAGCTGCCTTTTTGGCTTGTCAGCTGTGTCTATGCCATGCAAGCCCTTTTTGGTTTGATGCATTTATCAAGTCTTCTTTGATTTGCTGAGCCACTGGAGCTTTACTCAGAAAGTCATTGTAAAAGAACGAATTAGTGAATCAGACAGAATTCTGAGGACTCACCAAAGCACAATAATAAAAACAGGAAAATAAACTATATATGTGTGTTTACATATATATTTTCATATATATATATGTGACTATGTATATGATAGAGTAAAAAAAGAGATGATAAAAAAATTGAAAATAGCAGTGTATATGTAAAAGGAATTTCTCAGATTAAAGGGAAGTATAGGTACTCTTTTTTTGTTGTTTTTGCTTTTATTTTTGTTTTTTGTTTTTTGTCAGTTATGGGGCTTGAACTCAGGGTCTGGATGCTGTCCTTGAGCTTTGTCATTTAAGGCTAACACTCTACCACTTAAGCCACAGCTCCACTTCTAGTCTTCTGGTGGTTAAGTCTCATGGACTTTCCTGCCCCGGCTGGCTTTGAACTGCTATCCTCAGATCTCAGCCACCTGACTAACTAGGATTACAGGCATAAGCCACTTGTGCCTGGCTCTAAGCACTCATTTTTGATAAAGCAGTAGTTAAGAGTGGTTTCCTAGAATTGTAGAAAGCACATATCCTCATACTAACAAGGTCTTCAACTCCTGAACAGGACAAATAAAAATAAGTTTGTAAAACACTACATCAGATTAAAACTTTAGTTGACTTAGGAAAGAAGAGAAAACTCTTAAAAGATACCCAAAAAAGGTCACTTAAAAGAATTATTGAGATGAATAGCAGATTTTTTTCTGCAGAAAAATATTTTAGAAGATGTAAAAATCTTTAAAGCACGGAGAATAACTCCCAGTCCTGCTTTTGTTGTTTTGCTTTGCTTTACTTCGTTTTGTTCTTCACAATATCCCAAATAGCCAAATGATGGGAGAGCTCAGGCTTCAGCTCTTAGATGTCTGCTTTGCTTTAACTCTTTTCCCTCTCTCATAAGTCCAGCCTTACATTTTACCTGGCATCCATACATTCAAGAATTTTGTTTATTGCCTGGTGCTGCACAGCAAACCATGCACAAGTTTAGTGCCTACAAAATCTACTTTTAACTGTTGTTCTGTTTTGAGGGATCGACAGGCTCAGCTGGTTAGCTGAGCTTTAGAATCTCTCACATGGTTGGAGTGTGTCTATGGCTGAGGCTGAAGACTTATTCATTAATGGGTTTGGTGCCTGGGTTCAATGGCTGGAGCACGTATGAGCTTTTCTGTTTCTAGAAAGGGTTTTGAGTGTTCACTTTGGCAGCACATACACTAAAATTGGAACAATACAGAGAAGAATAGCATGGCCCCTGCACAAAGGATAACACACAAGATCATGAAGCATTCCATAATAATAAAAAAAGAGAATGAAAGAAAGAAAAAAGGGTTTTGACTTCTAGATCACAGCAGAGTAATTTTTTTAAAAAAAAATCATTGTAAAGGTGTTATACAGAGGGGCTATAGTTACATATGTTAGGTAATGAGTACATTTCATTTTTAACAGTGTCACCTCTTCCCTAATCTCCTCCCAGTATTTTCCCCCCAGAAACCCCTCTTCCACAAGTTGTATAGTTTGTTTTCAAAGTAGCGTCCAGTATCACTGCTATATTTGTTCACTCTTTGTCCCACCATTTCTGTGTTCCCCTTTATCCTTCCCAAAACAGATAAACTTCCATACAAGAAAGAAATAAAAAAATCCATAAAGGAGAGGATAAAAAAAAGTAAACCAACAAAAAAACCTCTTGTTTCCATTTCTAGGAGTTCATTTCAATAAACATCATTTTATATGATCATCCGTACATTGCTATTGAGCCTTTGTGATTCTCTCCTAAGAATATTCTCCTTTAGTTTCACTGTGTGAATGTTTAGAGTTCTGTTGTTTATCATGTCAAAGTGTAATTTTTTTGTCTTTTACCATCAATTGTGTTTACTTGTAGATTTATAGGCACATTCTAATTACCACAAATGAGGGAAATCATGTAACCTATGTTTCTTTGGGGCTGGCTTACTTTGCTTAATATATTTTTTTTCAAATATTCCCATTTTCTTCTGACTGGGGCAATGTCATTCTTTCTGATGGAAGCATAGAACTTCATTGTATATATAGACCATATTTTCTTTTTTTCTCTCTCTTCTTTTTTGTCGGTAGTGGGGCCTGAACTCTGGACCTGTGCACTGTCCCTGAGCTCTTCAGCTCAAGGCTAGTGTTCTACCACTTGAGCCACAGCATCACTTGCAGCTTTTTCTGCTTATGTGGTGTTAAGGAATCGAACCCAACCTCATGCATGCAAGGCAAGCACTCTACCATTGAGCCACTTTCCCAGCCTCAAGACCACATTTTCTTGATCCATTCATCCACTGACGGGCATCTGGTAATCTTATGGTAGCAAGGTGATCTTATGGCAACAGATAGTCTTACCTGGTTGCTGGTGTTCAGCGAATATTCAAAACAGGCAAAAGTTGCAAGAAGTTTTATAACTTTGTCTTGAAAGTATCTTCTGCCATGTACTATAAGTAAACAAGTCACTAAGTCTTAGAATATATTTTCAACAGTCTCTAGAGTTATTTTGTGTGTGTGTGAAAATACCATACAGAGGGGTTACAATTACATGGGCAAGGTAATGACTGCATTTCTTATCAAGCAATTGTTGCCTCCTCCTTTGTTTCCCCTTAACATCCCTTCCCATCTCCCCCTACCCCTTCTCCCTCCCGCATGCCAAAGTTGTAAAGTTCATTTTCAACATAAGATCTTGTACATCTCATTGGTGCAATGGGTCCACCTGTAACCCTATTTAAACAATTTGTTTTTTTCCCTTCCCTTCCACAAATTAAACCAACATCAAATACAGTGAAAACAGGGGTTATACCGTGGGGGAGGGACATACAAAGCAACAAAGAAATATCTTATAAATATGTTAGACACAATAGCAAGAAAGAAAACATTTGAGTCCTTATTGAATCATGTCACTTCTTTGCCCTAAATCCTAAATGGCTTCCCATATCATAGAATAAAGACCAAAGTCCTTTCATTGAACAACAGGAAATTATATACGCTGGCTTTTGTTCTTCTTTGATCTCATCTCAAACAATGCTTCCCAACGAAGTTCCTCTGATTTCACCTTGCGTTAGCTATAGTACTTTTCTTGATATTCCTTGAAAATATCAGATATCAGGTGCCCTTCCTTCTGAAGCCTTTGCACTTGGACCTTTATTTAGCCTCCTGTTTCAGCAGATACATCCAGATAAATCCATCCTGCTCCCTCTCATCAGGGCTGTGCTGAAGCTCCACCTTTACAGCGAATCTCCTTCGCAAAGCTGCTCACCATCCCCCTTCCACTTTGTATTTTACCAAAATATTTTTGTCAGTTATGTGTGCTATTGACTGATTGGCTAGGAAGGTTCACATTCCAATATTCAGGAGGAACCAGAACATAGAAAAAGAGTAACAGAGAGAAAGCATAATATGGCATTGTAGTAATTCCTAGGACTCAGGAGACTAGATCACTAAGCGTGCATATTTTAAACCAGTTTGAGTTACATAGTGATGCTCTGTTTCAAACAGCAGGAGAACAATTCATACGCATATAAATAAATGTGATTGACAAACATATTTTTTTTTTTAGTCATGGGCTTGAACTTTGGACCTGAGTGCTGTCCCTCAGCTTTTCAGCTTAAGGCTAGTACTCTACCACTTTGAGCCACGGCACCACTTCCAGTATTCTGGTGGTTAATTGGAGATAAAAAGTCTCACAGACTTTCCTGCCAAGGCTGGCTTTGAACCCTGATCCTCAGATCTCAGACTCCTAAGTGGCTAGGATTAGAGGCATGAGCCACAAACATCCAACAACAAATGCATTTTTTAATCCAACTTTATATCCAAGACATATGCCTAACCAAAGGCCACACAGAAATGTTGAAAATGATTGTGTGGATATATACCAGCTACTCAGTAGGCTATGATGTGAGGTCCTTGATTCAAAGCCAGCTCAGGCAGGAAAGCCTCTGACCTCTAATTAACTACCAAAAAGTGGAGCTGTGACTCACATGCTAGAGCACTGGCCTTGAGCACAAAAGCTCAGGTACAATACCCAGGCCCTGAGTTCAAGCCCCAGGACTGGCACACGCATTACCCCCCGCCCCAACACACTCACACACAAAGTAAAAAAGTAACAGAGAATGTGAATTTACTAATTATTCATTTTGAAATGCTACTAAAGTAGCAATTAGTAGTTTTTAGGTTTAGACTTAGAGAAACAAAGACAATGATGGTAAAGGAGACATTAACTATAATATAAATGGATTCTTGGTAATTGAGTAGTGCTGAAAGCAAAAAAAAAAAAAATGAACATGATTTATACTACAGACTCAAAGGCATAGGATTTGATGGCCCCAGGGATTTCTGGAGTGGGGTAAAATAATGAAAATCATACTGCAAATAGAAAGACTGTCTGAGTGTGTTTAAGGAGAAGTCCCCCAGGTCCCTCTGTGAAGTTGCTCTGAGGATTTTATAAGCAATATATGCAAAGTGTCAGGCACTGAATAAGCATTCTGCACATGTTTGCTATGACTTCATAGTGAATGGTAATATATAACTTCATTCTTAAAGTGGAGAAGTAGCAACACAAATATACTATCGATCTGGAGATTGGTAGTAAACATACCATCTAAATTAGTTTAATGTTGTTTCGTATTAGTTAAGAAAATTAGTGCTGGTAGTTTTTTAGGACAAGCTCTATAGAATATAAGGGGAGAAGAGGGAAGGAAGAGGGGGAGGGGAAAGGAAGTTCACGGGGAGAGGAAGGGGAGAGGAGTGAGGAGAGGAATGGTGGAAGGAGTGGAATGGGAAGGAGAGGAAAGGAGGGAAGGGAAGCAGGGAGGAGAGGAGAGGGAAAGAGGAGTGGAGAGAGGGGAGCGGAGGGGAGGGGAGGCAATCCAAGAGAATTTGAAAAAACTGAGGTTGAACTTGCTCTACCAGATATTAAAAATAATTCTAAATTATGATAATGAGATTGTGATACATTGATACAACAGTGGACAAACAGACCAAAAGGCACAATACAGAGAACATGCAGGTGAAAACCACAGCACTGTGAAACAGAAGGCAGGGCCGGGATAGCTAAGATCTGGAGCCAACCCAGATGCCCCTCAGTAGATGAACGGATCAAGAAAATGTGGCATATATACACAATGGAATTCTATGCCTCCATCAGAAAGCATGACATTGCCTCATTTGTTAGGAAATGGAAAGACATGGAAAAAAATATATTAAGTGAAGTAAGCCAGGCCCAAAGAAACATAGGTCCCATGGTTTCCCTTATTTGCAAAATCTAGTATATGTCTGAGACAAGCAGAAAAGATCAGATAAGTTGATGTGAGGTGAAATGAACCCCAAGATAAGGATTCAAGTGTTTTTTTCTTTCAGGCAATTGTTTCTAACATATTTATAAGATGATTTCTTTGTTGCTTTGTATGTCCCTCCCCCACGGTATAACCCCTGCTTTCAGGGGTTGGTATAATTTGTGGAGGGGAAGGGAAAAACAAATCGTTTAAATAGGGATACAGGTGGACACATTGCAACAATGAAATGTACAATCGTTATGAGGAAAATTGGACTTTACAACTGTGGTGGGGAAGGGGGGAGGGAGGAGGGGGGAGATGGGAAGGGATGAGAAGGGGAAACAAAGGAGGAGGCAACAATGCTTGATAAGAAATGTACCCATTATCTTGACCATGTAATTGTAACCCATCTGTATGGTATTTTCACAATTTAAAAAAAAAAAAGAAAAAGAAGAAGGTAGGGCTGGGAATGTGGCTTAGTGGTAGAGTGCTTGCCTAGCATGCATGAGGCCCTGGGTTTAATTCCTCAGTACCACATAAGCAGAAAAAGCTAAAAGTGGCTCTGTGGCTCAAATGGAAGAGTGCTATCCTTGAGAACAGAGAGGCTCAAAGTCATTGCCCAGGCCCTGAGTTCAAGTTCCAGGAACAGCAAACAAACAACAACAACAACAACAAAATAAAACTGAAGGCAACACTGTCCTATTCAATGTATGGTCTGAATTAGTTTATTTAATATTTTAATTGAATTATATCTCTACACAGAACTACTCTAAATTGTTTAAAGACTACATATAAAAATAAAACTTAAAATTCTATAAGAAAAATGTGATTTGTGGTAGAGGTTTTTAAACAAGATTTTTTTTTTAAATTTTGAGACAATATCTCAATCAGACAAGATTTTTTTAAAAAAAAATCTGAGACAATACCTCAATCAGTTGCCCATGCTGGTCTTTATCAAAAGTTCAAGAATATTCAAAATTAATTTTGAAAACTGCAACAGTAAAAAAAAGAGAAAAACC